TAATCAGTCTCAAGAACGTCGAATCTGAATCACTTGAAAAAAACACGGGGGTGCTTAACTTTTTTCCAGGTGTATATATTGTGAAGTAAAAAAATTATCTTCAATATAAACTTATAATTTATTTTGCATGTCTTTTCCCAGGCCAAGTGTAACCCAGTTGTTAGTGTGCCAGACTGTGGATCTGTCATTTGCATCTTGTTACCCCCACCCCTCTCAAAGCACTCTCTACTCTTTGGGGCCATAAGTGTGTTATAAGGGGGTGGTCAAATCCCACTAGAGCTTGCAGTGGGTGCTGTTGGCTACCTTCCCTCTAGTCTATTAGATCCAAATTAGGGACAGCTACTGCAGATAGCACTTGAGTAGATTTATGCAAGTATTCTAAAACAAACATCTCCTGAAATCAAATTATATATTTTTTATCTTAAAAGTAATTATGATAAGAGTTCCCTCTATTACATAATTAATAATCCAGTGCTTAATTCTGAAATGTGCTTTTTCTTACATTAAAGCCACCTGTTCCCACCTCCAAGACTCATCTATGCATCTGGAGCAAACGGAACATGGGTACGGGGATTATCATTTTCTCCCGATGGATCCCACATAGCAACAGTAGCAGATGATGGGTGAGAATATGTTGCTATAGCTGTCAATGTAAATAAATGAAAAAGGAGCTTTCCTGTATTCACAAACGTACTCTTATATAGTTACTGAATTAAACAGATGTTGTAGTTTCTATCCGAGTAATCACATGAACTGCCAGAATAAACTAGTGCAAATGATGCTGTAAATTCAAGGCAACTACAATAGTTGTAAAATCTCTTAAATGGGAAAAAGGTAAACAAGGAATACAGTACATATTGGTCTATGTATCATCATATTTTATAACACTTCCAGTGACCCGCAGAAGTCTTCACAAAAGTTTCCTTGACATGATTCATGTGTAGTCCAAAGGTATCAAGTCTGGAATGTACACTGTCCAGGGTAGTGGTTCAGTATGTCTAATCCATCAGTTTATTAAGACATTTGTCTAATTCCTCATGCTACAAAATAGATTGGTGCATCATCTTGTTGGAATAAAATTTCATCAATATCTTCAGGTATGAGTCCAATGACACAGTTACTGAGACAACAGTGTTTTTATGTACCTGAACTGCTTCTGCCATAGCTTAATTACTTGGTGGTGTCTGTGATCATGTTAGAATTGTCATTGCACAAGAGTAACAGACTTGAATTCTTTGTACCACAGATGGCCTTACTTTTTTATTGAAAAATTATCATTTTAGTATTGTATGTTGCTAAAATGTTGATTTAGGCCAAAACTTGTAAGAAATAAAACTTTGTTTTTAGACCAATAAGTAGTCCTTTTTTCATTTAAAATTTATTACATTTTAGAATATATGTAAATACAGACATTATGTATATCTATAAATGGAATTATATGATGCAAAGTTTTTGTAGTTAACAGAGTAAATATTTCCCAGTAAACATTATCTACTTTATTAAATACATGATGATCCATTATTCTTAGTTTTGTAACAAGAGTGTAAACATCTGCATTAGCATTTTTTCTGTTTTTATCTTCATTCCATAACGTGCTGTGCTTCAAGAAACTACAACAAAAAATTTTCAAAATTAATTGTTGTTAAAAATGTCAGTCATTTAGTTTTTCTGCTTATCTGTTATAAATGTTTTGTATATTATCAACCACTACTTAAATGTCTTCATAGATAATTAAGGAGGTTAGAAATTCCTTGACCATTTATTTTTCTAGGTACATGAGGTTCTGGGACATTTTATCTGAAGATGATCCAGTGGCTGTAGGAACTGTGGAAGAGGCCTTATGCTGTACATATTCTCCATCTGGACGGGTCTTAGCTGTAGGGTAAGTTTAAAATAAAAAGAAAAAGTAGTAGTCTGTTCCCTCGTGTTAAGCTGTAGAGCAAGTAAAAAGTAGCAGTCTGGTTCCATTGCCATGTTAAGCTGTAGAGCAAAAGTAAAAGTAGCAGTCTGGTTCCATTGCCATGTTAAGCTGTAGAGCAAAAGTAAAAGTAGCAGTCTGGTTCCATTGCTGTGTTAAGCTGTAGACCAAGTAAAAAGTAGTAGTCTGGTCCCTCGTGTTAAGCTGTAGAGCAAGTAAAAAGTAGCAGTCTGGTTCCATTGCTGTGTTAAGCTGTAGAGCAAGTACAAAGTAGCTGTCTGGTTCCATTGCTGTGTTAAGCTGTAGAGCAAGTACAAAGTAGCTGTCTGGTTCCATTGCTGTGTTAAGCTGTAGACCAAGTAAAAAGTAGCAGTCTGGTTCCATTGCTGTGTTAAGCTGTAGACCAAGTAAAAAGTAGCAGTCTGGTTCCATTGCTGTGTTAAGCTGTAGACCAAGTACAAAGTAGCTGTCTGGTTCCATTGCCATGTTAAGCTGTAGAACAAGTAAAAAGTAGCAGTCTGGTACCATCATGTATTAAGCTGTAGAACAAGTAAAAAGTAGCAGTCTAGTACCATCATGTATTAAGCTGTAGAACAAGTAAAAAGTAGCAGTCTAGTACCATCATGTGTTAAGCTGTAGAGCA